AATATTACTTTGAATATTATGTAAAATTAAAAAAAATATTATTTTATATAAAATCCGGTTCAACCGCGGTTGAACCCGATTGAACCAGTGAACCAGTACCTTCACCGGTTCAATGTCCGGTCCGGTTTTAAAAACATTGGTTTTTATGTTTCATCTCTTCTTGCATGTTTGTGTTAAACTTCATGATTTTTTTAGGGTTCTACGACTAAAGGTTTGTAATCTTTCTGAAGATGTCAGTTATGTTTGAGCATGGTTAACACTAAACACTTTCTTCTTGTTTGCTCAGTTTCATGACACTTTTTCTTTTGTCTTGTATCGTGATTATTTTCTCATGCAGATTTTTGGGCTCCTTGATGTGGAGAAGAATGGATCGATTGCATTTAAGCAGGTAAGTTCAACTGCCGGTTTATTTTTGTCTTCATGTTGGCATCATGCTATAGTGTGGTTACCTGAGCCATGGCCATGGCAACATGTTCACGGGAAATGATACCGCTCTTATTTCCTACCTGAGCCATGGCCACTATTGCGAACTTTTCTACTCTATGGCCTTTAGAGATAAACTTTTAGTGGTCTGCTGTACTAAAGCATTAGGAGAGGATGTACAGATGGTGATATTTAGAGGCATACTATACGATTTTCTTTTCTTCATGGCTGTTCTTATTTGGAGTGGTTCGTGTTATGAAGCAACCACTATTCATGCAAACCTGCGAACTAGCGTTTGACGAATGTGATGCGAGGGGAGATAACTACGGTATGAAGTATGCGGCTCTTTCTTGCTTTCTTTGAAACTCTGGTCATTTTTCATTTGTTCAACGTTTGTGCCTTTTATGCTTAGAACATTAACTTAAAAACTCTCTTGTTTCTGGTTTCTTTTGGAACAGTTGGCAAACATCCTTAGACGGACAATTCCGGAAATGAATGAAGATGAGGTAATATACACTTGTATATAATATTGGTTATGCTGTAAGTTTCTTTTGGAACATTTTGTTATTCGATCGAACGTATATACGCACCAATGAATGCATGTAGGTCCATGGGCTATTCGACCTGTTTGATGCAGACAAAGATGGTTTCCTTTCCTGCTTGACAAAGAACACTTTACTAATAGCAATGTTCTCACCCAAAAGCTGGTCAGGAGATTGTTTGATGGATGGCTCGTTGTCTTCTGCAATAGATTGGTTTCCAGTAGTGTAAAATGAAATTAGTTTTACCGGATTAGAATATTTTCTTAGCATTCAATCAAACACAGTAATTTTCTTATTTTGGGGTTTCTCCAATGACTTTAAATGTCGCGTGATTTTGCTATATTGTGGGTAGGGCTGGCAATAGATCGGAGATGGGTCGGGTGGAGCTTCATCTGCCCCCATCACCCGCGATCCAATTCTCCATCCACACCATCCATCACCCACTAAAAATTTCATCCATATCCGTTCCATCCATCATCCACGGGTGGAGCGGATGAGAAATGGATGATACTATGAACAAAACCTATTTTTATATCCTAAGCTCAAATTCTTCTATCATTCATAGAAACCAAACATTAATACTCAAACATTTATAGAAATCAAAACATGAACAATAAATTTTCATCAAATTCAAACAAAAACAAAATGGAACACAATTTATATAGTCTTGTACACTATGTTTGTGATACATTTTTCAAGTGAATAGATGCATCATGTATAGTCTTGTACATCAAATATAATCTTCAAATCTTCATCAACAAACTATCACTTCTCAAAAGTCCTATCCATCTTAGTATCAATAGGGATAAACCAATATTAAAAAATTAGATATATTTTCAATGGGATAAAAGTTAGAATTAAGAGAATAAGAATATTTACAATCATCCGTTTATTTTTTTTAATATATATATATATATGGATGAATATATTAATGGGTGGATGGATGCTGTGGGTGATGGGTCAAAAAAATTTCATCCATATCCGACCCGACCTATCACCCGATCCATCCATCACCCGCCAGTCATCCGTTTCATAGCGGATTTTCATCCATTTATTCGGGGCGGGTGGGTGGATAATCCACTAACCCATGGATAATTATCAGCCCTAATTGTGGGGAATCTAAGACAGGACCACCGATCCTTAAAAAAAAACAGACATCAGAACAATGTGATTTTCTGAACTTTCTTAGAAATTAGGGTGTCCTTAAGGTTCTCTGTGACTAAAATAAGACTTATTTAACCACAAAGGAGGTTGGATGAAGGGCCAGAATGTGATGTCACACATGGAATATGGAAAAGAGAGAAAGGCAGGCAGCTTGACACGCGTTTGTGGCCCCTCCTTGTTGCCAACCAATGAGGCTTGTTTGTCAAGTAATGGAAACGACAACCTCAGTCAATGCCCATAAATGGTATATATACAAGACTTTGTTTTTTACAACCACACGCGATGCGTGGTTCACAATTACTTTTACCTCCTTTTTCTTAGAGTTATAAAATATTATGATGCTTGCATTTTTATAATACAAAAAATATTCAAAATATTTAAGAAATTATTCAAATTGCACAACATCGATCCCATCAATCTGATGTAGAATAAATAAATAAATAAATAAAATATTTTTATTGGTTAAAAAGATTTTTTTAAATCTTTTTTTTTAATTCAGACAAATTTTTATTTGGTTAAAATTTACAAGTTCATATAGTGTTCCTATATTTAGAATTTAATTTATTTACTTTTATTTCATGAAATTTACTCCTTCGTTTTGTATATAAAATTTTTAATCTAACTATTCAAAAAATATTTTCTAATTTACTTGTTAACATTATTGACAAAATTAACAAGTAAACTAATATTTTTGAATAAAAGACTTAACATTTTTTTAAAATATACAATGAGAATAGAAAGCATGATTATAATTTGGACTTTTTTTTTGTCTATATGATCCGAAAATATGAAGGCTATATAATAGTCACATAATCATGAAGTGGCCAACTGGCCGTTTGCCATTCCATTTCCACCAATATACACACAAGTGGGTAGCCTTGTATTTATTGGAAAACAGTAATTTTTTAATATCTGATGATATAAATTCTAGTTTATATAATTTTATTTATTTTAATATTATATGTTTTATTTCATGTATAGGGTTTAATTTGCGAAATTATTTTGATATTACATGTCTAAATAAAAGTTAATTTTATGATTATTATGATAAGATAAATTATTTGTTGAATTTTTCCTAACAAATATGTTAAAAATTTGAATTGTACAAATTGACGGATAACATACAAATATTAAAAGTTTAACTTATTAGAAAATATATTATAGGAAGAATTTGATAAATTTGATTTAAGGTAATCTTATATTCTTTCAACTAATATCATTATATTGTATTATTGTCAAATAAATCAAACAAGTTATATAGTTTTCTCAGTAACATATCATGTAATGTTATAGTCCGAAAATCTTATTCATAATCTTAATTTTACGACTAAACAAATCTTCAAAAAAAATTAAGAGTTTAAAGTGTTATATTTTAAATTTTAAGGTCCAAATATACATGCCATATAATTTTTTTTTGATTAAATAGATAGATATTATATTGTAGATAAATATAGGATGTGAGATAACATGAACATCATTATCACTTGATCATATGTCTCTCGTATAACTTTTGATTTACATAATATGTGTATCAAAAAATTACTCTGATCCATATATAAGTTTTTTTTAAACATTATTTTTACTCATAAAATATCCATAATATACATTTTGTTAATTAATATAACGGTGCACGAACTAACTTACTTCAGTAGTAAAATGAATGATTGTAATTCTTAAAGATCATGGGTTCGAACACCTGCAAACTGCAAGGCTGATTGAACGTAAAGTACTTAGAATATATACTATTTTGTAATCGACTTTAGCTTAATAAAAAAAGCAGCTAACGGTAAATTTGAGTCTTTAAATTTTAAAAATGTTTAGTATCATCGTTATCAAAAATGCAAATTTAATTATCCTTAATTGAAACATTAATGAATTAATATATTAAATGGTAAATAATTAAAAGTTTAATTAAATAATTTTAACGTTTGTAAGTTAACATTAGACAAATTTATATACTTAAATTACATAATAAGCCGAGTACCAAATCCAACGCCCACTCTCAACATTTCGTTTTTTAAAGTGGCTTTTTTTTTTGGACAAAAAAAGTGACTATTATCTCTTAGTGAGCTTTCGAAACCTAATTGGCCTCCTGCGTACGGGATTGTACGGACAATGTTGCCATGTTTCTAACATTGTCACGTGCTCCTACACTTACCATTTTTCACTTCAAAATGAAACTGGTTGCTTTACTTATTTATTTTTCTTTTACCTTAAGTAAAATAAAATATAAGAATATATTCTGAACAATACTATCTTTTAATTATCTCCATATTATTCAAAGAAACATATGTAGGAGTATATTTTAAGAAGATAATAAGAAAAAAAATAAAAATATTCAGATTCCTATGCTAAAATTTACTAAAAAAATTATTTTAGGCTGAGAACTAAAATTTACATGTAAGCATTTAAAGTATAATTAAACTTTTTCACCAAGTTGATATCTCTTTGAACCACTAGGTATTGTTTTTAGTAAAGTATTCATTGCCTTTTCCATCTACGTTGAGTGCTTTGGATAAGTGTTGTGAGTTTACCATTAACTATTAAGAAGCAAAAAGATGAGGTTTCAAATACAAATATATGCTCTTTGCTTTACACCTGGGTTGAATATGGAGAATTTTGATGTTCCTTTACTTTGGTGGGTGGGGGATTGAAGCAACAACGAGAAAGGATGGATAGAGAAGGAAAGGATGATGTTTGTGGGGTTTATAGATTTTTTGTTTTTATTTTTTTGACCTTTAGTGGGTGAGTAATAATAAAGGGACAGCCCAAGCAAATCAATGACAATAAGAACTTCCAATCTTGGGTGTTCTGGCTATTCTATTCTTCTTCAGATTTTCTTCCTTTCTGGGTTGTGTTTAGGGGGTAAGTGAGACTAGGTTTGATGATCTCTTTTCCATGTCTAGTTCTTCTTTGAAGTTTGAACCTTTGTTTTGAAGGGACCATATCACAACAAATACATACTAATTTAAATGTTTATTTGATTCCCTACAAAACTTGTTCCCAGGTGTCTAAATCTCCTGTGTTTCCTCCATTTCTTTAAGCTGCAAGTTCTTTGCTTGGCAATTTGGTAAGACACTTTGTTCTTCAATCTTGTTTGGTGTCTTGTTTTTATTGAAACAATCTAAATACACTACCCTTTAGTTTTCTCTTACAGATCCCTATTATTTCTCAGTTTTCTTGACTCCTTCACATCACTGAAATCAAAACAAAAAACAAACAAACAAAAGGGTTTCTGGGTTTTGCTCTGCTTCGATTCATCTTTACCTTAAAGTCTTGCTCATTTACAATCTTAATTTGCTTCCTAGGGAACTGTCTGTTTGTTATATTCCATGTTTTGTTAGTGCTTGGTTTCTGCTTTGTAACATGAAAGCTCCATCTTTTTGTGATTGAAGGTACTACGGAGATCATGGTGAGGGGAAAGACTCAAATGAGGCGCATAGAGAACGCCACAAGCAGACAAGTCACATTCTCAAAGCGACGAAATGGGCTGCTAAAGAAGGCTTTTGAACTATCAGTTCTTTGTGATGCTGAAGTTGCCCTCATCATTTTCTCTCCCAGGGGCAAACTCTTTGAATTTACAAGCTCTAGGTATCTTCACATATGTCATCATATGCCACTTTCAACTAATTACTATCAATTTCACATTCTTTTTGGTTATATTTTGTATATAGTATTTGCAACCTAGGGTTCTTTGATTATAGCATAAACTCTCTTGTGTACGCACAGTTAAACACATACTACAATTAGTAAGCTATAAGATCTTAGTGTAAAGCTGATTTGTTTTTGTCTTGAAATTGTTTAAAGTGTCCTTCAATGTTTCGGACGAATATACAATAGATATAGGTTGTGTCCACATTGTTTTCATATGGGGTTTCCAAGGACCTAATACTATAATCTAAAAGCAAATCTTTGGGTATCTCAGTGAGTACAACTATGCAGTCTTAGTATGGCTAAGAAAAAGCAGAAACCTAAGTAACATGTACCTTGTCCCAAAAGAAAACTATTATTTCCTTCTATACGGTATCCTTGAAAACTGGTTTGCAAAATAATGGTTTTAAAAGTACACTTTCTGATATTATTTTATCAAGGGTATTGTACAATCCCTTTCGTGAATGTACTGATATTAACCCTTGGGAAATCTTAGAGAGATTCTTGATTATTCATGACATTGGAGTCACATCCCCACCCTAACACATCAACTCTTGGGAAATCTTAGAGAGATTCTTGATTATTCATGACATTGGAGTCGCATCCCCACCCTAACACACCAACTCTTGGGATAATTCATGTGTTTTATTGAGTATACACAAACATAAAAACAGCGAAAGATCGAAGAAAAATACTTCCGATCATTATTTTAATTGAACATTAAAATTGAGATGTTATAATCCTATTATCGAATACGTATATACCAGATTTTACTGCATATATTAAAGACAAATGTTAAACACAAACAGATAAATGGTTGGTAGCGTAGTAGATGGAAATGGTCCACCATATGAACCACCATCACGTTCACGCAGTACCTTCTTGTTTATTGCTTTTAAGGTAATATATTTATATAAAATTTGGTATTTTAATAATTTATAATGTTATATATCTTGATATGCTTGTACCATTGTATTATTTTACTCTTGCTATTTTCTTTATTTATAGTAGTAAGAATTAAAAACACAACAGTCAATCATCCCAAACTATATACAGTTGAACTTTGTCTCTTACATTCATTGCTGTTTTGATTCAAATTTTGGGGGTATGATTTATTAAAGAAAAAAGAAGATAAATCCTTCTGACAAAGATGGCCAATATAATGTAATGTTTAGGTCATGCTTTATAAACATATATCTGTAGTGTAAGCTTCCATTCATTGATTGTATTGCTATTGGATATCATTGTTTAGCATGCAGGCCACTGTAGAACGTTACATGCGGCATGCAAGGGATAATAATCGAACCAAGCCGACTGACCCAAACCTGCAGGTTAGGATGTCTTTTGTTTGTATGTTTCATGTCTTATAAAGGTGTTTTTTCCTTAATTACGAACTATGAAAAAACGTACCCTCTAGGAAACCAATGTGAATGCCCTAACCCTTTTTTGCCTGCACTTTGTGTTTACGATGTTTAATTTCATGCACCATCATTGAATTAGATTATAGCACATCTTTGAAAATCGATTCGCTTTAACTTTGTTTCTACTGAAATGACATGATCTGATGAATACCAAGTATTATGCGTTTCATGGTTTTTTTTTTTACTATGCATGTTGACTGAAATGGCAGCAGATGGAGAGTGAAGCAGCAACCTTAGTGAAGAAGATAGAGGATCTTGAAATTTCAAGAAGGTATTGGGACTAGTTTAAGATTTCATTTGGTTGTTAGTAATTTGGAATGGCATTGAAACAGTGGACAAGGATTTTGAAATTTGATTCTGCAATGCCTCAGGAAACTACTTGGAGAGGGTTTGGGTTCATGCACCCTTCAAGAACTACAACAGATAGAGCAGCAGTTAGAAAAGAGCGTGAGCATCATCAGAGCGAAAAAGGTTGATTATGAAAAGCTATGTTACTCAGATTTTTTAAAGTATTCATGTTCGACACTTGTATCGTACACATAAATCTAAAGATATAACACTCGAGTCCAAGTAACGTTGGTGAAGATTATTAATATGTTTTTCAACATTCTATACACTGAAAATAAACACATATTAACTCTGATTGTCTACTTTTCAGACACAAGTTTTCATACAACAGATTGAACAATTGAAAGAAAAGGTGAGCCTTTGGGTTTGAACAATATTCTGAGTCGTTTCCTTGAATGATTGAGTTGCTAATTGCTAACAACAGTCTTCAATTATTTTGGCCAAAACTCAGGAGAAAGCCCTAACTGCTGAAAATGAAAAGCTTTGTGAAAAGGTAAGCCTTTTCTATCAGTAATATGCATGGCAAGGAAGTAGGAAGTTGGATTAGTATTCAAGGTCCCCTTTGATTGTTAAATTGTGGTTTCGAAGTGTGTACTAAACTTGAGTATGGTAAAGAGATCAAACCCATAATTTGTCCCTGATTTGACATTGTATCATCGATCCCTTATATACAACTTACTTACCCTTCTCTTTTCAATTTTTCGTTCAGTGTGGAACGAAGCCATGGAAAGGATCAAACGAGCAGGAAGAGAATGTACCATATGATGAAAGCAGTCCGAGCCCGGATGTCGAGACTGAACTGTTCATTGGACTACCGGAAGGGAGAACAAGACGAATCCTGCAATCCAACTGATTGACGATGACAAGTGATCCCACGCCACAGCAACTATAAATATAGAGACAGAAGTTCACGTATTAACCATGCAATGCATTAGTTTGTTGCTTTAGCTTCAAATAAAATTTGCTCATGGAAGAAAACTACCATAGAAGATTTGCTACATAAAATACCTTTATTTTGGAGCACGGCAAATGTCATATTAGCCTCTGAACCCCGTAACTTTTATTTGGATAAATTAGCAGTTTAGTTTTGAAATACAACAATTTACAGGATCAGTAATTTTTTTAAAAAAAAACTATAAATAAAATTTGATTTTTTTAATTAAATAGAATTTCGATAGCATTTAATCAAATATCAAAACATTATATTTTTTTAATTATTTCTTGAACCAATATTATAATATGATTATAGTGTAAGGATTATTATCCCATACATTGACGAGTGAAAATATTCTATAATTGAGATTATATGATACGCCGTCTTGCAGAGCCGGTTTTGGGCCGCGCTGTTCAATCATCCAGGGCCCAATTTTTGTAAAAGACTTTAAATTTTTTTAAGTTTTCTGTATATATAAACATTTAGGATGTTTGGTCTAAGAATTTTTAAGTTCAAGACCCACATTAAATAATATTTGACGGTCAGTTAAAAAAATTCTAGAAAGTAGAAGCTAGATATCGGACTCCTCTCTCCTATGCAGGAACACCCTGCAAAGTAAAAAACAAAAATCTCTGCACTCTCCTCTCCATCTTCAACTCTTCTCGGGATCCAGAATTTTGTTTTTCGAGAAAAGGTCCCATCCTTCAATATCATGATTGGGTCGACCAGGCCAGATCATGAGTAAATAGAAAATCGAAAACGTACATAGCTGTTCCAGCTGAAATACTTGGAATAATTTACAGAGAAAAGTACAGCCACAATATTATAATATGATTATAGTGTAAGGATTATTCTCTTTTCCAAGGTTAGTAAATGTTTTCCAATGACACGCTGTCTTCTTGTTAGAGATATAAAGTTTGATAAACCTGATAAATGTAACGTAAATTGATTATAAAGAAACTAGAAATCTAAAACAAAAGAAAAAAGTTTGATAAAGCTGATAATTCTTTACATTTATGGGCATGAACAAAGTCAAAAGCACTAAATACAGACATACTATAAACCCAACGCAAAATTGGCTGACATTAAACACACCAAGGTCTTTGGTCTTTTCCTAACTATGAACATAAGGCTCAAAGAGTTTCACACAAGGATTTGGATCATACTGCATGATATCAGCAGCGCGTTCAAACTCTTCTCTCAGAACTCTGATGCTGAACTTGTCCACCACACGGCCAAGGTCATGAGAAATCTCAAACGGATCCTCTATGCAGATTAAATGACGATCATTGCCAACTCTTCTTGTCCAATCTTTATCTTGCTTACTGTACAAAGAAATGTCATAAATGAGATTTAAATCTACCAAAAATGAAAGCATCATCTTATCCTATTCTTCCCCCCCCCCCTTTCATCTATTTATTCCTTGATTAAGGCAAAACAAATGTATTTACTTTAACTAGCCATCGATCTTTTACAAATTGCAAGCCATTCTAAGAGTAGAAACATATTTCTTCCCGTCCAAATATTGTAAAATCATGTCGAATTTCTAGACCCAAGAGAACCGGAATAGAAAGGCATATAGCAAAAGAGGGGGGGGGGCATTCACAACAAGCTGCAACTAATACCCATGCTTATCACTGAAAACTAGATTCATGCAATTTACTTGCACTTGCATATTCAACAACCGTCGAGAAAAATTAGTATTTCACCTGATTATGCAGCCCGTGCGAACAGATATTACTGAATTTGCATAATCATGACCATATGCCCAATAGTTAAAGAATCCCCACACCAGTTGAGCAACAGTTTCCTTGTTAGGAGAGCCAAAGTTGCTAAGTTGTTCAACTTTATCAAAGTAAGCACACTCAATATTATCCACTGTGATATTGTAGGTTTTCTGCATCCCCTGAAGGAGAATAAGCAAAAGCAAAAAAAAATGTTAACCCAACAACATTCAGTCAAAGATTTGACAAGTAAAAAAGAAAAGAAAATGCAAAGCTTCACATTAAGTGTTTCATGCAAAGGAATAAAGGCTGTGGATAGATCCAACATGAAACTAAGCACATGCTAATTAAGAACCATAAGGTTTATCATAGGAAACATAATCAACAATCATACATGAATCAAGCAGATAACATATGACTGCAACACTACCTAACTAATTGGAATTTTTTTTTATTAAAACTCCACTTATTTCTGATAGATTTTTCCATTGGTTACATTATCTAACTCTTGTTGTCTGCCACACTTTCATTATATCAATAATTTAACTTTAGCGGATGTGCATCGTTCACCTTTCAAGGTGCGGCTGCAAAATTTGAAGTGGAGTCCTCCCCCTACGGGTTACTTTAAGGTGAATGTTGATGGGGCAGTTACTTTTGATTGGAGAAGAAGTGGTATAGGAGGAATCTTAAAGGATGTTGATAATATGAAGCTGGCTTCCTTTTCGAGAGCAACAGGCCCGTGCCCTCCGATTCAGGCAGAGATTTTTGCGATCAAAGCAGGGTTAGAGTTATTTTTTGATTCAGTTTGGAGGGATAAAGGTTTTTTAATCTTGGAAAGTGATTCTTTTCTTGCTCTAAAATGGATCAACAGCCTGGAATTGTGCCCGGTTCTCTATGTTGACTTGATCAAAGAAATTCAGAAGACAGTGTTGCAGTTTAGTGTTTCTCTTAGGCATATTAGCAGATGTATTAATGGGGAAGCTGACTGTTTAGCTAAATCTGGAATAGGTTAGTGAGTGCTGAGGTTGTGGCTTGGTGAGTTTGGGGTTTCAGGGTTGTTGTAAGTCGGTTTTGTTTGTGTGTGTCGGTCTGGTTGTATTTCCTATGTTTGGTAATAAACTATGGGCACCCTTTTCCCTTGCCTTTGGTTATTGTGCTTTTTCAACACAATAACTAAGAATGGGGTTTTTAACAGGGCCTATTTCCTATCAAAAAAAAGAAAATGGTAAAGCAGAAAATAGAGCCATAAGTTTTTATTCTACTAAAAATAAAGTAGCAAGGGTAGAACAAAATTCAAATTATTAAGTTCCATAAGTTTTTGCACCATAGAAATAACACAAAAGAGCCATATGAAATAGCAGATATAGGAAGCAAGAAGGCCTACACACCTGCAAGCATGGAAGGATGGCAGGTCTACGTTGCTGTAAGAAATGAATGCACATCAAAACATACCTGAAAAGAAAATCCTAATTAAAGACAAAACTTGAGAACAAGCAAAAATGTTTCCCTACTCTTTTCTAGATGCACAAATCCTAACTACATTGACCATCATTAGCTTGTAGTTTTATCTATGCTTACACTCCAAAGCAAGCTAAACAGCCTAACAACAAGCACCAATCGGACTATGCTGCACAAGAATTACATTTCTGATTGTTGGAATAGAATTATAGTAGCAAACTACTTACGCATAGCTGGATAAAGTTCCTCGATAAGTTTCATTCACTCCTCTGGACTTGGCCCAATGTTTCACAACAAATGCCAATTGTCGTAATCTTGCATCTATCTTTGCATAATCCCGTAGAAGCTTAGTATTTACTACAGCCAAAACATTGTTTATGCATATGTCACAGGAAATTCCAGTTGCCGGATCCATAAGCTTTACTATGGGTACTCTGGCACGAGTCAATGCCTGCACAGGAGGCAAACGGTAAGTTATACTCTACTTGCTGTGTAAGTTTTAGTCTACACTTCAAGAACAAAGTTCTGTACACACTTCATGGAAGTAGATTCCCTATGTAGTCTTTGTTGTTGTGAAGATGAAAACAGGGACCGTCTCTTCTTTGGATGCAGTTATACAACAGAAGAGTGGAAGGAGGTACTTAGGATGTGAAATCTTAACAGAGAGGTAATGGCATGGCAGTATGAGTTAGAGTGGGCATGTGTAGACTCAAAGGAAAATCTTCTCATATTATATTGAAAATTGCTTGGAATGCTCATACTTATTTGATTTGGAAAGAAATAAATGTTAGAATGTTTCAAAAGGTAAAAAGAAGTGAAGATGATATTATTAGAAATACTGAAATACTGTACAAACACAAGGTTTTTGGGTAAAAACATTAACATGAGTAGTGACAAATTCTCACTTTGTATTGACTGGGGGATAGTTCAATTATTGTATAGATTGAGGTTCATTAGTTCATTTGCTTGATTCTTATATTGTTGTACTGTAGCAGACCTGTTTCTTTGGATAATGAATATTCAGCATTTATCCCAAAAAAAAAGTTGTGAATACACTTCACGGAAGTATAGTAGCAGGAAAGGACAACAAAAGGAAGTTTAATGAAAATGCAATACAAAGATAACATAGAATTCTGAACCTATCTTCACAAACTAATATAAATCAGATAATGAATCTTAAAGGGTGTAAATTAAGTATTTCTTAGGCGCATGTACTGATTCAAATCCAGATCAATATTCTCAACTTATATTATCATTCACCTAGAAAAACAGAAAAGTATTAAAATAACCAAGTTTATTTTAAAAGAAAAGGCTACATGTAGCGGTTGTTAATAAATAAATAAGAAAACTAATCAGTTAAAGAAAGCAAAATTGGCAAATTATGATCAATAATAGAGCATACTGAAAATCTCGGCAACTATATTAATACCAATTTAAAAAGGAAAAACACAAGGTAAGATTGCACTTATAGTTGATTGCATTAAATTTTAAAGGCATTCACAATATAACCAACCTGCACATTCTGAAGATTATCTGACTGCAAAATATCTGCCAACTTTAACAAGATTTCAGATTTGTCGTTAATGTCGTCATTAAATGCAAGGCAAACATCAATATCACTTTTCGAAACCCCAAAAGAGTTGGCACATGATCCATAAAGAAATAACTGTGCTTTTGGCCATTCTTTGCAAACTAGTTTCTCAAGTAATGCCAATAATTGTTTCTGCTTAGTTCTTTCCTCCTCAGGCGGTATAAGTGACTCATAAATAGAAAGCAAAGGTGCATTTAGCCGGTGAATGTCACCACGACACGCCATCTGCCTTTTCACCATTCTAACTCTCTGGCTAAGTAACCTTTGGCCTCTATTATCTATTCTGGATTCCTGATATGAAAATCACAAGTCAATACCAAATTTAAACAAGAATCCATTTGGACACCATTTGAATTTAAAATGCAAAGCATTGGAAGCTAATATTACAAACTAAACAAGTGATCTATTAAGCATATAATACCAAAATTAAGTGTGCCTGTTGAATCTAAATCTAAAATCCAGGCCTACACGACTACACATTAATCTTTAAGTCTCTGATCTCTCAATGCTTCAGAAATCATTGTGATGACTTCAAGAAGTAACATTAGAGGGGGAGTTTACCTTCTCATAACGATGATGCTTCTTATCATTCTTATTATCAGATTCTTCCCCAATCAATAAAGACTCAACAAGATTTTCCCCAATTTCGTCCACTTGGCCACCATCTTCACTCTTAAACTTATCACGCTTTGAAAACCCATCCCTATAACCAACCCTACGCGATTCCAAAAGAGAGTCTTCAATATCGGTAGCTGAAACAGACCGCAGATTACTCCCTGCCAGCGGCCCAGGGTAATCAAGTTGTCCACGAAGTCCCATCTCATTCTCACTAATCAAAAGACTGTATTCAGCTTTTAATTCATCTACATTGTGCTCAACATGCTTTTTCCTTCTTAAATCCCAGCTCCCTCCTCCTCTAGGCTTCCCTGAAAACCCTGCAGGCGCTCTTAAAGTTTCCCCTGATGAGGGAGGCTTGTAATTCCCAACATTCTGCTGTTGCTTTCCTCTTTCACCAGAATTTTGATGTTGAAAGGTGTATGGAGTCAAATTCGGATTGGAATTAAGCTTCGACACTGGTTGCTGTTCCGATAGATCCATCTTCGATTTTTCATGCAAATTCCCATTGAGTAAACTCTCAGGCTTCTTCAGGATTTGAATATCACTAGGAAAAGAACCAAAGAGTAGCTTTTGTTCCTGATGCTTTTGCTGCCGGATCGGGTTCTGGATCGCTTGACTTTTGTTATTATTGATACCTGGAAAACCTAGCCTTCTCAAGTCATCGTTCAAAGCTCCTTGGTTACCGACGAATTGGTTTCCCGATGAAGACCAAGGGTTTTGGGGAAACCCTAGAAAATTAGGTGCGAGAGGCAGAGGGTTTGTTTGCGGCCAAGATGGCGGCAATGGGAGTGCACGCCCAACTGCTGCAACGGCCGGATCTAAGGGCAACGGCTGCTGCTGCTGTCGCGGTTGCGGTATGAGCATGGCAGTAACACTAGACAGTAATGGAGATTGTTGCTGCTGTTGATTTGATTTGGGGTTTTGGAGTAAAGAAAGAAGGAATTCGCCACCGTTGGAGGAGGATGCCAGTGGCGCGTCGCCACCACCGCCGGCCATCGCAGCTAGTTTCTCTAGCACTTCAGAGGGGAATCGATTGGCAAAGGGAGACGTGAGAACCTATCAGGTTACCTGATGATTCGGCTAAAAGGTAAAACTTTGTGAGATTTTAAAATAATCGTATCTCAAATCTTAAATCAGGGGAACATACAGTTCGATTGACGTCCGATAACCGTTGGATCTTTTAGATCGAAGGATGTCGGATTGTGGTATTATGTAACTATATTCGTTTCGGGTATTGGCTTTTGAGTGTTTGACTAAAACTCTCCAACTCAACTGCCGATTTGGAATTCGGACTTTGGGTTGGGCGCGTATTTGTCACCAACCACGAATCATTCGCATCCGATTCCTTAGCTACCAAGTTTAGAGTACAATTACAATACCTTTGGTTTTCCTTAGCTAAGTTTGGAGTACACTCATTTTTTGTTTCTTTTAAATTTTGTTATTGAAATCGATTTTTTTAATTGAAGTAATTATTGTTTAAAAATATTATTGTAACTATTGAATAGTTAAAATATTATCAATAATTGATTTGACACATTAAAAATAGTTAAAAATTTGATAATTGCTATTGTTTTTTTTTCATTATTATTTCTATAACCGTTTGGTGGTTTTCGATTGGAAAGATCATCGAATTACTCATTTTTTTTGTGATTTACACGGTCAAAAACCTTTTAATCTTCTCAAATCTTAATGAAATTAAAAATTAAAACCTTTTTATCTGCCACTATCAAATGTTATATCAACTTAAAATCGAACTATATTAATCTTCTGGCTAAATGAAATATTCTCATCGCTAAGATTGATTAATGACAGATTCATTCATCGAAAACTTCATCTTTGTGATAGTTGTTAATTTGAAACCTTAGGATTGTTACTGAGAAAGAAATGTTCAACATGTCACCTAAACTAACAATAATGATGATAATAAAAATAAATTAAAATCATAATGATTGTAGTGTAATATTTAAAAAATTTATGAACAATCCCGGCGACGCCTCTGGTGATCTATCAGCGACCGTTGAACTCGCCCTTCTTCGAACCCAGTCAAAACACTCTATGTTTCTTCTAAAATCGATCTGTTATCATCTTTTTCTTCAAAATTTCACCTTCTTCAAGCTCTTCAATCAGCACCTCAGTTTTCAATCTAGCAAGCCCGAAATCACCAATCTTGGCCTTGAATTCTCCATCTATGAGGATATTGCTTGGCTTAATATCAGTGTTTTGAAAACCGGACCGGACCAGCCAGTTCAATCTACACCGGTTGAACCACTACTAGTGAAACGGCCGGAACCGTTGAACCGTTCGAACCGGACCAGTTGAAAACCGAAAAAATCACCAATTTTGTTTTTTTAAATTAAACCAAATGACGTCGTTTGTTAAACGAGCCAAGTCGAACTCGAGTATTGCTGAGCTCGACTCGAACTTGAAAACTTTAAAAGTAAGCTCAACTCGACTCAAACTCACGAGCTAAAAATTATCAAGTTCAACTCGAACTCGAAAAGGCTTGAACTTAAAAAAATTTAGAAGCTCGATTTAAACATAAAATTCAAGCTTGATTGAAGTAAAAGAATAGTTCACTCAATGCTTATCAAAATGCTCCATGATTTTGAATGCCAAATTACCTCTATTATTTATAGAAGTTAGTTGGGATGCTCTTATATGTTTCTTAGTCATGTGAGATTGTTTTGTTCTCATATTTTTACTCTTTAGACTTTTGGGGTGCTCTTTTATGTTTCATAGCCATGTGAGATTGTTTTTTAAAAAATTAAACCAAACAATATCATTTTGTTATGATTTTTTAGCCCCAAATTTATTTTTTAATTATAGCTATATAATTATATTTATTATTTAATAAGTTTTGCCTTAAATATTATGTTGTAGTTAATTTGAATAATTTTGTTTCACTTGATTTTATGGTTTTTAAATTGTATATGTTATGACTTGCTTTGAATATGACTTGTGATATAAAAGATTATATTTTTTATTAAATATTTTTGTTATTTTTATTTAATTTTTTAAATAATTATGACGTCGTTCGGTTCTTCCGACCGGTCGGACCGGTTCGACCGGTTAGACCAGTGAATCGGTAGCATGGCTGGTTCGCCAATCGGTCCGGTTCTGAAAACCATGCTTAATATTACCATGAATGATCGGCGGATTACAAAAATGGTGAAGATATTCAAGCCCTTTAGCTACATCACATAAAACACGAAATCTTCTACTCCAGCTTATTAGTTATTCACATTTTTTATCCAATAGCGCGTCTTGGACGCTGCCATTTTCCATTAATTCGTAAACCAAAACTAACCTCCTCTTTCTCAAATCTTAAGAGAAACCAATGAGAGGAACAATATGGGGAGAAACCAATGCACGTGAGAGAGAGAGAGAGTTCGTTGTGGAACTCGCACTCTCCTTGCAATGAATCCGCTGAGTTCATGACTTTGATTGCGAATTGTTGAGGCAAAGAATGAAGACTTCCTTTGTAAATAGAGCCGAACCCGCCATGTCCTAAGCAGCTGGAAGTGGAGAACGAGGAGGTGGCTCGACGGATAAGGATTACGAAAACGGTGGCATTGACGGTGGCTTGGAGAGTCGGATGGAGCAGTACGGTTGCGAGAAAGCTTCTGGTAGATGAAGATGGTTAATAGGGTTAAAAGGATTATAGTTACAGTAATGGCTCCTGCAAGTAGTGGGGGAAGGAGGTGGTGGGAGTTTATGTGGCGGTGGCGGTGATGCTTCAACGGCGTCTCCTCCCCAATCTTCGGTGGTGAAAATTGTGACAGCTGTTGCGGAAGACGGTTATCAGATAGAGTAAAATCACAACTGATAATTTGAGAAAATAAAAATGAAGTTAAAAGAGACACGAAATTTACGTGGAAAACCCTTAAATAAATATAGGGTAAAATTCACGGGCAACGGTAGAAGAATTTCACTATGAGAAAATAGGAATTATAACTTCTCTCGATCTACCAAGGAGAAAACAATGATAATTCTCTCTTGATAAAAAGGAGAAAACAACTCTCAAGAAACTCTCTAAACTCTCTCTAGTATTGGGAGAAAGCTATAACGATTTGGGATGGTTTTGAAGCTAAATGAGCTAGGGTATTTATAGTTGAAGCTTAAGGACTAATATTATAAATACCCTAAAGTACAATGACTAAATTGTGATTTTACCATTGTCCAAAAAATCAACATTTTTAGCTATATTTTCGGTGCCACCGAAATGTTTCCACCGAAAACAATGTTGCAAGTTTAGCCAAATGGCCAACTTACATTGACTTTTCAACAATCTCTCACTTGAAGATTTGATTGGAATAATCATATCTTTACATTATTCTTTCTACCTTGTACCTTCATGTTGCTTACGTTTCTGACAGACCACAAGAGGAACGACACCAGATAAATTTATCAGCAATGATTGTCTTTGTCATGAAATCTGTTATATTGTCTTTGGTATGGATTTTTCGCATATCTACTGTCCCTTGTTCCATCTTTTCACGAATGAAGTGGTACTGAACTCGTATGTGTTTTGTTCTTGAATGAAATGTTAGATTCCTTGCTAGATGCAAGGTGCTTTGACTGTCACAAAACAGAGAGACATACTCTTGATTGTGCCCAAACTCCTCCAATAGCATCTTCAACCAAATTGCTTCTTTACTGGCTTGTGTAGCTGCTACATATTCTGCCTCTTTTGTGGATGTATCCACAATTGACTGTAATTTTGAAACCCAGCTTACAGCTCCACTAACAATTTTGAACACATATCCTGTAGTAAATTTGTTTTTATCCAAATCCCCTGCATAGTCAGAATCAACATACCCATTTATAAGTAAATTTGATCCTCCGTAACATAATGCAACATTTGAGGTCCCTTTGATATATCTCAGGATCCTCTTCATTATATTCCAATGCTCTTTGCCTGGATTCTCCATGTACCGACTAACCACTCCCACTGCTTGTGCAATGTCTGGTCTTGTGCATATCATAGCGAACATTAAACTTCCCACTGCTGATGCATACAGTACTCGAGACATCTTCATCCTCTCTTCTTCACTGCTAGGATTCATACTGGAGGATAATTTGAAGTTAATAGGAAGATGGTAGAAATTGGCTTACAATCTTGCATGTTGAATTGTGACAAGATCTTCTTTAAGTAATTCTTTTGTGAAAGCCAAATCTTCCTATTACTTCTGTCTCGGTGAATTTGCATCCCTAGAATCTTGTTTGTTGATCTCAAGTCCTTCATTTCAAATTCCCTAGCCAGTTGTGCCTTCAATTCTTCAATATGATATTTGTTGGGTCATGCAACCAACATGTCATCCACATACAATAGCAATATAACAAAATCGTTATCACCAGACCTCTTGAAATAAGCACAAGGGTCTGCATTAAGTCTGTTGTATCCAAGTCACATAATGAAGGAATCAAATCTCTTATACCAATACCTCAGTGCCTGCTTTAGACCGTACAGAGATTTGTTCAACCTGCAAACCAAGTTCTTTTTTCGTGTTCTTCAAACTTTCAGGCTGGAGCATATAAATTTTTTCTTCAAGATTTCCATGAAGAAAAGTTGTTTTAACATCTAGCTGCTCTAGATGTAAGTTCAATATAGCACTCATTACCAAGACTACTCGAACTGTTGTTAGTCGAACCACAGGAGAAAAGATTTCATTGAAATCAATACCTTCTTTTGAGCATATCCTTTGACCACCAGTCTTGCACGATACCTCTCCACTTGATCGTTACAATTTTGCTTGATTTTGAAGACCCATTTGTTATCAATTGCCTTTCTTCCTTGTGGTAGTGACACAAGGTCTCATGTATTATTTTTATGAAGGGCTTCAATTTCCTTGCATTGCCATCATCCACAGTGAAGCATCTGAGCTGTTTATTGCCTCCTGGTATGTTGATGGCTCACCGTCATATGTTAAAAGGCATTATGCAATATTTCCTTCTATAATATAATCTGAGTGTCAATTAGGACGTATTCTCACACGATCTGATTGACGAGTTGTTGGAGCTTCAGAATTCTCTAGTTCTTGTTCATCATGTGTTGGTTCTGCTTTAGAAGAATCTCCTTGTTCAAACTCATTTTCCACATGTATCAGTGTAGTCTCTGACTTTTCAGCAC